CCTCGTCTCTCCGGTGCCTGGACAGAGGGATGGTATTCCCCCAGTTTCGCCACGGGCACTGAAACCAGCGCCAGTGATGCGCAGTCAAAATGCCATGACATGCGGGACTTGAAAAACCCTCACACCGTACACGGTATTCAAGGATGTTTTGAGGGAGGAAATTCATCAACCCTCTATGCAAAAGGCTGGCAAACACTGCAATGCAACTGAAGGATCTGAGTACGAGGGCTAAACGGGATCATTGCCCGCTTGAGGGGGTCACAAACCGGAGAGCCTGATCCGAAGTGGACAAGAAAACAAGAGCGCTGCCTGGACATGAAACGGATCACATCGCCAAGTTTCGGAGCCTTTGCCTTCACGTCTGAACTTGAAGTATCCGAGGGTCCTTAAGGGTAAGAACACATGAATGGACTGCAAGCGATCCTGGGATAGAACATGGTTCGTAGCGCGTGCTGTTGAGTGCTGTTCTGCAAGTGTGTCGTTGTGTGCCTTGGCTCAGAAACAAGGGGGTCCGGTTGGCTAAGGTTTTGACTCACAATCAGCCACAGAAAGGGATGTTCTGATAGTGTGAAGAATGCATGATTATTCTGAAAAAGTGCATGTCAAAAAATGCATGTGGTATTTGGTCTGTTTCAGGGCCTTGATCAAAATGCATGCCACAAATGCACGGTTTATTCAGGATCTTGCGAAATGCATGTCGTGAGTGCATGTTTCTTGGGGGCCTTGACCAAGATGCGTGTCAAGCAATTTTGTCCCGTTCGGGGCTCTGCAAAACGCATGTCAAACACACAAATTTGAAGGGTCTGAAATGCATGATTGGCTCGTTAGCAACTGGGGTGGGGGACAACAATGTGCGTTTCATTTGTGGTCTTGAGTTTCCTTGGAGCCTTGCGCACCACACGAGCCATCTTTGTGCGCAAAGCGCTCGCGCTTGTTGAGAAAGATACGACATGATTTCTTGAACGGAGCATGCGCATTTTCGATCAATTATTTGCACAAAGATTTGCATGGCTCCCTTGACCACATGCGCTTGTACTTTTGGAAAATGCTCCTGTGCAGGACAACTATGCAAATTTAGTGAAACAAGTGCGTTTGTTCTTGGAACATGTGCATTTTCTTCAACCGACACACACGTTCCTCGATGTGTTTTTTCAAAGCGCAAATGCATTTTAGCAAGGCGCTCAGGCATTCTCTAACAAAAGCACGCGCTGTCTCGGACACACGCACTAGGTTTCTTCCAGAAACAGGCAACCGCATTTTTAGCGGCCAACATGCAGTTTTTTTTCCAGAGCTTTGTTTTTGCGAAAAAAACCATGCATTTTTGACATGCAAATTTTTATGGGGTCAACGACTACATGCATTCTTGACATGCATTTTCTCACCGCTGGCAAACGGCTCAAAAGCTAGCATTTTCCTCGAGAAAATGTGCGTATATGCATTTGTCTGCCTCCAACATTCATTTTTCCCACCCCGAAAAAATCCAAAAGTAGCATTTCTCTCGAGAAATGCGTGTTCTTGCTTCGGAAAATGCATCTCTCATTATTTTCCATAGCGTTTGCACCGTTTCAGTCCAACACATGCATTTTCTGGAGGAAAACTAGGTTCTGAGCGCTTTTCCAAGGTTTGGCAAATGCATGCTGGATCTAGAAAACAGCATGTTGGACCTGGAAAAAATGCATGTTTCTTGAAGAAATGCATGTTTTTAGCTTGGGCAGAATGCAAGAACATTGAAAGACTGGATCCAACATGCATTGCATTTTGCTGGATCCAGCACGCATTTTCCACACCTGGGAAAAGCGATCAAAAGCGAGCATTTGCCTTGAGAAAATGCATGTGTTGGACTGAAAAAGTGCAAAAGCCGTGGAAAAAGAATGACACATGCATTTTCCCAAGCAAAACCATGCATTTTCTTAAGGGAAATGCTACTTTTTTAGTGTTTTGAGGTGCGCCTGCATGTTGGCTCCAGAAAAATGCAGGTTGAATCCAGGAAATGCATGTTGGATCCAGAAAAATGCATATTCCTAGAGTTGCTCCATGTTTTGCATTTTGCACAGCCAAAAACACACATTTTCTCGAGGAAAATGCTAGCTTTTGAGCCGTTCTTCAGAGATGAAAAAATGCATGTGAAAAATGCATGTTTGTTTTCGCCAAAAACAAGGGCCGATTTTCTACTTATCTACCTGTTTATCTACCTACTTATCTACCTCTTTCTCTATGTAAAAAAAACCTACCTGTCTATCTGTCTATTTATAAAAATCTCTGCACACGAATCCACTTTGCCGTTCTCACTCTGTCTGTCTATCTACCTGTCTAGCTATCTACCCATCAACACATTTATCTATGCATCTGGCTATTTATCTATCTAAGCTCTGGAAAAACTGCATGTTGGCCGCTAAAAATGCAGTTGCCTCTTTCTGGAAGAAACCCAGTGTGTGTTTGTGTGTCCGAGACAGTGCGTGCCTTTGTTAGAAAATGCCTGAGCGCCTTGATAAAATGCATTTGCGCTTCGAAAAAACAAGTAACCATCGAACGTGCGTGTCTTTTGGAGAAAACGCACATGCGTCGCAGCGGTTTCATCAAAAGATCGTCGCGCGAACCTCCCGCAGTTGCGGTAACACGCAAAACCGAAGATCGGCGCGGCGCCACAGTGAGAACGCAGTTTTGAAGACACGTCCGTTTCGTGCGAAGCTTGCCCGCAACACAAGTTTTTGCAACAACTGCCATGGCTTTAGAGCTCCGATTGTCCAAGCGTCGTAGCCTCCGACAAGAATATATCGCCGCGCGCATTTTGCTCGCAACAAAAATCGTTTGGCACGAGGCTTCCTCAAAAAACACACACTCCAAGAACAAATGCACTTGTTTCACTAAATTTGCAGAGTTGTCTTTGGAAAAGTACAAGTGCTTTTTAAGGAAGCCATGCAAATCTAGCTGTGTGTCACACACGCAGTGTTTATTCAACACAAACGTACTCCAGTAAAATTTGCCAGTTCTGTCAGCACATGGTACTAATCTGCTTGGCACTTGCTGGACAGCATTCTGTGAGACTGCCGTGTTTCGCGGCGGGCGCAGTATGTTTTGAGTTGGTGCTTTTGGACGCGTGGCAGGCGCAGCAGTTTCATACGCAGTGTCTGTGAGTTTCGTGGCAGGCGCAGCGTTTCACTCAGTTGCGTGCGTTCCGAGACGAAAGTGAACCCTTTGCGGAGATTGCGCCTGTCAAAGCGCTCTCGCAGTAGCGCCGTGCGAGTTTGTCTTGCTGGCGGTGAACCCGTTGCGTATATCCTGCGTGTCGAAGCGCTCTCGCTGTGGCGCTGTGCGAATTTGTTTTCAGCTCAACGAACCCTCTGCGAAGAGCGCGCGTGTCAAAGCGCTCTCGCTGCGGCGCCGCACGAATGCGTCTTGCTCTCGGCGAACCCTCTGCGGAGGTTGTGCGTGTCGAAGCGCTCTCTCTGTGGCGCAGCTCGATTGTTCTGCTTTTTGCTTGCGAACCGGCGTTTGGAAGTTGTCTCGCGGTTCACGCGGCTGCTTTTGCGATCGCGCCTTGTCTCGGGTTCCACATGCCTGGGCCGCAGCAGCTCTGGGTTTGAAAATTGCAACTTGTAAATTACGAAAGTAGCATGCGAAGAGCAAACCCAGAGCTCCGGCTGCACTATCGCAACTTCTTAGCACAAAAGTAGCACGCGCAGCTCCAGAGCGAAATTCGCAAGTTGTATGTGCAAAAAGCAATTCATCAGACAAAGGTGGGGAACAGATCGTAGGTGAACAGATCGTAAGGCCCCCAACAGAAACCGACATACACCGACAAAAAAGTGAAAAAACAACAGCAAATCAATTTCAACCAGCTACGGCACCCAATGATGTGGTACCAGAAACTCCTTTGAACATTTATCATTAACAGCCATAAAACAGCAACCATCAAACAACAACAAGCAACAAACTTACAACAATCATCACACCCCCAGAACGAGCAACAACGCAACAACCAACACAATACAATAACAGCAACGGACAACCAAACTTACACAAACACAGACAAAACACAACCAACCAACAATAGCAAACACACAGCAGCAAATCAAAAGTAAATAAATATCAACAAACAACACACCCACCTACTACTACTACTACTACTACTACTACTACTGAACTACTACTACTACTACTACTACTACTACTACTACTACTACTACTACTACTACTACTACTACTACTAAACTACCAATAAATTACTACTACTACTGACTCCTACTACTACTACTACTGACTCCTACTACTACTACTACTAAGCACTACTACTACTACTACTGCTGCTACTACTACTACTACTAAACTACTACTACTACTGCTACTACTACTACTACTACTACGACTACGACTACGACTACTGCTACTACTACTACTACTAAGCGACCCCGTGAAATACAAATTGCACAGTACTAATAGTTATAAGTTGTATTGACGAAGATAAGAAGTCAAAATAAAATGCGTCCAGGCATACCTAAATGTAACTGTGACGCTCCGCCGAACTGGTCAGGTCAGTCAGAACAAGCTGGCCTCAGAACCAGTTTGGCAAGCTGTGTCGTGTCTTCAGGCAATGCCCCTTCAGCTCATCCGGAAACGCAACACCCGAAATTCGTGCCGACGTGTCTTTAGAACGGGGCTGGTTTTCAACAGCATCCTGGCAGATGAAGACTTGAATTGCGTTCATGACAAAGGCAACCAAGGCAGGGTGGCAAAGGTCTTGTTCAAAGCTGGCAGGATCAAGCTCAGCCAAGTATGCCTTAGGTTGTTTGTGCGCGGCAACCTCTTGCTGCCTGTGCTTCAGCAGAAATGTCATGGCCGGTGACACTGAGTCCTTACTCCTCGACCTGACCCGATCCTCCTCCTCAGCAGTCCGTCCAACACGTTGTTTTTTGGTGTTGGGCCTGGCAACCCCTGGCTCTGAATCATCACACTCATCAACAACATCCCAACTTCCATCACTGCTTGTCATCCTGCAGCTGGCTTGAGGGGTTGAGAG